CGAAAGTTCGACCTAAAAATCTGGTTCAACAAAAGTTCGCGACACCCCTAGTAGTGAGGGTGGGCGCAACTCAAAACCTGGAGAGCGTTTGCAATTTAATGGCGGCGCCTGAGGGAGAGGATTCGAGAAAGGATATGCGCCAGTGTTGCCTGCACAAGAGCAGGCGCCCGCTCTGTTGCAACTCTTGCTCCATGCGCCTTTCCTCCTCTCGCCACCCACTGCAAGCAACGAGCGCCTTGGCGCAGCCTCTCTCGCTTCCTTTTCGCTCCGGGCAAAAGGGTGTGCGCGTGCGTAGATGCTTACTGGAAAAAGGTCTAATAGACCTTTTTCCAGTAAGCATCTGCGCACGCGCACGCCCTTTTCCCTTGACCTTGACCGCGGAGTTGCAAAGTTGCCAGACAAGCAGCAACGTCCAAGATGGCGGAATTTACCATTTTCGCGTTAAAAAAATACTTAACCTATCGCAACAAAACTGGTGGCTATAGAAAAGTAATAATTTATACCTTGTGTAAATCATTCAAGCACTTTAATGGGCTTTTATGACCCGAGTTAGGAAAGAAAACGACCCTTTGCCCCATAGACTCCCAGCAAAATTTAGCAATTAAATGGCGTCCATGTCCCGTGATCCCCGATCTAGCAGTTGCACCCACCCACACTTGAGCCTCCCTATATGTCGGCGGCTGCTTTGGCGACGTCGTGAGTGCGACGTCGGCGGCATCCTCGCGACTGCGATTTTCAATACGAGACGAAATTGTACTCGGTTTGGCAACGATCACCGGCAACTTGATGCTTGCGACGCGCGAACACTTCTCGGCGAAGGTACGATGTGCGAAGGTCAGAACACGAGACCTCTCTTGCCGAGGCGACGCTTGCGGGCAGGACCGGTCAACCGCTCGCGTCGCATTCTCGTGTTTAAACAAATCTAAATGGTACTCTGGACCAAAAGGCTTGTTTCTTTCTAAAGTTACAGCATTTCGTGTGTGAAATAAAAATTGTGACTGTATCTTGGTGGCGTCACAAGCGCGAGATGCTTGGGCTTTTGCGTCGCGACGGAGAAACGCTATTCTAAAACTCTCTTGCGTCGCGGGCGCTAATACAAGCGCTAAATTTAGCGCTAGCGTGCGCTAAAATTGCGTACGTTATTCTAAAACTCCCTATTATCATCAATGACGGCGCGCTTGTGGCCGTTGCCATAGAGATCGTACATGGCCATTGCATTTGGCCTACTGAGCTTACGGATGTTCGTGGCGCTTTTTCTGACAATAGCAGACGACTTTCAAATTGTTTCTGCTGCAGTTGGTAGTCATCGGCACATCTACTATTACAGTATGTACAAACTTGCCCTGATTGTAGCCACCGGATTGTGGCGCCGACGAATTTGTGTTGTTCGAAACGCTTCGCGCTGTCAGCACAGTTAAGGCAGCAGCATTTTACAATAATGCAAAGCGCATGCCAAAACGGTCGTAGCGCTTTTCATGCTCAAATTGTAATTTTTACTGGTGAAAGGGCAAAAATTAATTAAAAACCATGCTGAACCTCGAGAGGGGTCGGGACTCGCAAGCAGCCGCGGAGCAGTAGCAGACGAAAACGCGTGGAATAATGCGCCGGCAGCGCCACCTAGCTGCAAAAAAGTCGGACACGGTTTTGGACCCCCTCCAATGTACAGCGTCTATGGGAAGTTCCATAACTGAGTTGATCTAGTAACTAGGGGTGTCGCGAACCGGCCGCGGTTCGAGTTCGACCAGGTTCGACTTTTTCGAACTTTTAGTGGAAATTTCGACGAACCTTCTATTGAGGTTCGACTCGTGTGCGCATGCGCGACAGGCTGGCCAGTTGGCTTCGGATTGGATGATAATGGCTAAGAGATGAATGAAGTGCAGCGCTGATTGGTTATTTCAGTTAATACAGCACAAAACAATTAAGTTAATAACTTCTTCAGTCATTAGAATTGGTTTCTTTAATTGCAACTGTTCATAAATTTAAAAATAACCCTTTGCATAAAAAAAATTTCTCCAAACTTAGACATGCTTTTATAAAGGTCTGGCCACACTGTCCACAAAGTCGAACCGGTCGAATCTGGTTAAAATTTCGAAGGTTCGTCGAACCGGTTCGACCCAGTCGAACCCCGAAAGTTCGACCAAAAAATCTGGTTCGACAAAAGTTCGCGACACCCCTACTAGTAACGGTGGTACCGGCGTCTGCTTTCGATGCTTCTTTCAATACGACTTTCGATGCGTGCTGTGCTGCTTTTCCCCGGTGCTGCGATTTCGTGAAACTTTCACCGGGTCCTCAAAGATAGAGCTACCGTTCACGCCGGCTTTCAACAATATGTTTCGTCAAACAATTTCAATCAAGAACGAAATATAACCCACGGCTATTTTTGCCACAATGCTGTCTGCCATGGATGGATGATAGTGGCTGCACCAGCTGTACATTGGCTAGAGGTAATATAACTCTACCACGAACTCTACCAAAAAGATGGCCGCCTGTGGCCGCATTCGCGGAGCGGGCAAACACGATCCAGCAAATAGACAGAGATCAGTGGAAATACCCAATCAACCCAATCAACCAAGGAGATTAGAAGGAGAGGAGGGGGCATTACGTCAGCCATGTAGCCTCCACAAGCCAAGCTCCCTTGACGCCTGGCCTCTTTCTCATTTTCCTCCTTACCCTCCTCACTTATCAGCCCAGTCACGTGACTTACCGGACGGAGCTGCCATCAACTAGGAGGGGGCACGTTGCAATATTGGTGAAGCCTAGTCATAAAAAGTTTAAACGATGTTGTGGCCAACGTGACCGTCGATCTCTCTTTCAATTGGTGCGCGTGACATGTCACGTGTGAGATGGATGGTTGATTGTCGTAGGATTCCCTGCAGGCTTGCGCGCGCTCCGTCCGGTAGGTTTTGTCAGAACGAAGGCTAGACGAAGGCTAGCTACGGTTACGTGATGTGGTCACGTTGACCTGATAAGTGAGGTGGGTAAGGAGGAAAATGAAGAGAGGCGAGGCGTCAAGGGAGCATGACTTGTGGAGGCTACGCGGTGACGTCATACCCTCTCCTACCCTTCTATCCTCCTTGGCTGCCATAGCTGCTGCTTCACGTCTAGCCTTCGATCTGATAAAACCTACCGGACGGAGCACGCGCAAGCCTGCAAGTAACTCACTACAAGCAACCATCCATCTCGCACGTGACAGAGATCTGGGGTCACGTTGGGCACAACATCGTTTAAACTTTTTATGACTTTAGGCTTCACACATATTGCAACGTGCCCCCTCGCATCAACGCTGCCCTTCATCCCATAGCCATCACCATCCAATCCGAAGCCAACTGGCCTGCCTGTCGCGCATGCGCATAGCAGTCGAAGTTGAGTCGAGCCTTTGTCGAAGTTTTCACAAAAAAGTAGAAAAAGTCGAACCTGGTCGAACTCGAACCTCGACCGGTTCGCGACATCCCTAAGCTTTCTCCGCTATTGGAAGGGGGTGCAAAGTTGGGAGATGGATGTCACGAAACCTTGGTCACGGAAGTGACTAGTGTTTAAAGGCCCACGAACAAGCAGAAAGGAGGAAACTCTCCCTCAATTCCTGCTTTTCATTCGAGAGACGAAGATACCTTCTTCCTTTCTACGGGGATTAGCTCGGAGATCCGCTCCTGTGGGGAGAGGAGTGCAGAAGAGAGCGAGAGGGAGTGCAGAGAAGGAAACTGGTCGGCCTTTAAAGGGATACTACAACGAAATTTCGGCGCTCATTTTTTGGTCTATATGTGTTCAAGCAGCATCACATCGAACATACCAATATCTTGTTAAAAAAGTCACGAAAAGGAATTTTAAAACAAATTAAACGATTAGCAAAGAGCACCTGGTGGATGTCGCTAACGCCTCGCTTGTAACGCCCGTCTAGGAACCTTGACAGCTAGTGACGAAGGTTGTCTCGCCTCCTGCCACGACGAGAGAAGAGGGGCAGGTGGAACTCCCCTCTTCCCGAGAATGCCTTTTGTGTGTCGCAGAAGTTGCTATTGTCCCGCTACAAGATACAGAAGATTAACCCGTGACTCAAAATTCGTACAAAAGCAGCCGCTTCGGTGGCTGGAACGACTAGGCCATCCTTTCGACGTCAGCCTCGCCGTAGCTTTGCTCGTCCTGAGACAACCTACGTCACGATTGCGTTGGATGTCACGTGGTCTCCGCTGGGCCTTCTCCAAGCGCTTGCCAGAGTGGGCCGTTTATAACGAAAAATACACCCACCAGGCTCAAAATTCAAACGTGCGATTGTCATTTACGCATATTGTAAATCATATTGAACCTATTTTTGAACACGACGGTAATATTTCTAATTTTGTTGAAGTATCCCTTTAAGTTCTGTGACATCAGGTCGTGTAACGTCATCTTCACCGTTCAAAAATGCACGGATGGACAAACGGACGAAATTCTAGGATCTGCAGCGAGGGGATGGTTAAAAAAACATTTTATTTTCTCTCATCCTTCTGACGCGCGTCACCTAAAAAAAGCCCCTACGAGCCGGCGGGTTGCCGCTATTTTTACTCATGGCCGTGAGTACATTGTGAGTAGATCTTTATAAGTAGTACCATGGTCATGCGGCTCCGACGTGCGCAACTTAGTTTCTAAAAAAATAAGAGATCAAAACAAACTGTTTCCGTTAAATAAAAAAAAAATACTATCTGTAGAAATGCGTAAAAGGTGGCGCAATGTAATGCCCAATTTCTCAAAGGAAGGTATGTGTTATGTATCTGCATACCTATTCTCAAACTGTTTGCATACATCCAGTATTTACAAAAACAACAATATATTTGTAATTTATTGAAATTGGATTTCTTTCTACATTCTTAAATTTGAATAGCGTGATTTTTTTTTGGATTTTGTGACTGAAAAGTCGCGTTGTTTAATGCCAGGAAGGCGCATTCTACAGCTTAGTATTATTTTTGCTCACCAGATGGCGAAACCCATTCCACAGTTTGTTGTTTTCGGATTGCGGAACCAAAAAACACAAAAACGCGAAATCAGCCCGTTTCTGTCGTTCCGCCGCCCGCTGCTACTACGACGCTGTGTTTGTGTGACATTGAAATCGCCGCAGCCGCCGCAACAACTGCCAAAGTTAACAAGAGAAAGACGACAACGAAGACATAAACAAAGCGCTTCCAGTTCGCCCTCGGTCCGTCCGGCCGCGCTCGCTTGTTATGTGTGTGTAGCGACGTGCGTCATCCGTCGACGACTGGCGAAGTACGCTCCGTCGCAATCCTGCCCGCCTCGCTTCCCTGCGTCTTGCGTGTCGTCCGCCTCGCGGCTTGCGTGAGTGAATTTTACGCCGCTACGCAGTAAGCGCTCCCCATTCTTTCGAGCGGGCAGCGGTACCCATATTCCGCGCTTCCTTTCCTGACGGCTCCATGATGATGGGGACGACGTCAACGCAAGTACGGACCGCGCACCTGACTTGTCGCCGCAGCCGTCGGCCAGCCGACCCTACCTCAGCTGCTACAACACCGAAGACCACGTCGCTGTCATCCCACGCACCGAAAAGGATGTGAGTTTTTGGACGCCGCGTCGGCGTTTTCAAGTCCGAAAACACAGCTGTCGCGCTGCGCTCTGCAGTGACACAACGCGACAGGTCGGTTCGATCGCGGAGAAAATCAAACAGCATCGACAAAAAAAACGAAAGGAGGTCGTTGAATCGAGTACGGAGAGAGACTCTCCATGTGGCAACGCACGCTATGCATTCGTCAGCGTCACCGCCCAGTCGACGTCGTCAACAGCCTCCGGGGTCCTTCTTCACGATCCCTCGGTGGATGGGGGGAGCCCGCAAGCAACTGCAGTACCGAAGTCTGCGGTCCCTCGAAGACCCCGGCGGCGCGGGGTCGACGTCCACCACGACCAAGTCGACGGGGTCGCATAGACCCAAGCGACCCAGCCTGTTCGATCAGCTGGTTCGGCGGTTCTGCACGCCCGCGCCGCGTCACCTCTCCAAGGGTTCCCACCAGCAGCACTACGGACCCGTCAGAACGGGGTCGCTTCGCGACGTCCGGTCGCGGGCGGTCGGCGGCGACCCCGGCGACAGTCGGAAGGACGCGTTCGCGGCCAGACCGGACGCGCTTAAGGTCGTTCCCGCGGTCGCCGGCCTCCGGAACGAAGGCAACACCTGCTTCATGAACGCTGTCCTCCAGTGCCTGAGCAACTCCGACGCCTTCGCGGAGTACCTGGTGTCCGAAAGGTACCGAGGCGACTTGCTCAGGAAGGGGGGTGCTGGTCGGTCGACGTCGGGGTCTGGTGGTCGCGTCACCGAACAGCTAGCGCAAGTGATCGCGGCGCTGTGGCGGGGTCGGGCAGACGCCGACGTCTCGGCCCGCTTCAAGTCTGTGGTCGAGAAGCATGCCAGTCAGTACCAGGGCAGCGAGCAGCACGACGCACAGGAGTTCCTCATGTGGCTGTTGGACAAGGTGCACGAAGACCTGGATGCTGGGGACGACGGTGCCACTGGAAAGCGGTCGCACAAGAGGCCCAAGGTAAGATAGGTTTGTTGGTTCTGTTTACACGCATGCTTGAGGCTCCAGCTATGCTGTCCTTGACGGTTCTTCACTATCAAGGAAACTGTGGTTTCTTGTTGATGCTTTTTTCATGTATACTTCACGCTCCAGCTGTGGTCTCCGTGATGTTTCCTGCCTATCAAGGACACAATGGTCTTTGTCGATGCTCTTGGCATGTATGCTACAAGCTCCAGTGATGGTGTCCTTGATGGTTCCTCACCATCAAGGACACCATGGTTTCTCATAGATTGTGTTTGTATGTATGATTTAAGGGCCAGTCACGGTGCCCTTTATACACTCCGTGCGACGCGACTGGCGCGCCGCCGCGCGGCCGTTACCGAAGATAGGCAGTGAGAACCCCAGAGAAAACGAAACCGAAACCATGTCACGTACGTTGGTACGCATTGAAGTCGGAGCGGTGCGGTTGCTCTGGGTTCACAGCGTGAAATGCTGCCGGTGCTGTATCGTTAAGTACTTCAATAGTTATGCGTCGTATCTCGTGGGAACAAAGTTTCACAGTTTTTCACCTCGCCGATGTTAAGTGGGACAGCGAAAACGATGGACCCGTGACGTACTACGGGAGAAATTTAGTCTCCCAATCATACCTGCCACTGTGTCGGCACGGCTTGCATATTCTACTCTGCCACTTTGCACTCTGCGTTTGTTTTCGTACCAGTGACGCCGATGGGACAAACTGAAATGCCATTCCGCACTTGCGGGTGTGCGGTGCCGATTTCGTTGGAGGAATGCCCTCCAAAGAAGTTTTGTCCTCATCGTACGTGTCGATGATATCTCCGGAAAAGTATAGCACGCAATCTGTACTTCATATAGAAAAATTCAAACGGTAAAAAAAAAAAGAGTGACAATAATGAATTGAAGTATGAAACTCGGAATCACTGGAGAATCAATGATTGAGTATGGAAGTTTATGTGGTTTGCTTTCTTTTTTGATCAGCCTCCTTTTGGATGTGGAAGCACAGACACCCCGAGTTCTGTAGACAACAATTTGTTTTCTCGGCTTTAAAGCCACCTATCACAAAGTTGTTTAAACTGGAAGTACTGTCCATTGGTCCCTTCCTACCTGTAAAGTGTGCACCTCCCACGATGAGTGGTATTATCTTGACAGCCTTTGACGGTCCAAACTGGTTCCCATTTAGTTACGCCGCCCAAACTAAATTTTCACTTGGTTTCGCTATGCCACCCCTTTTTGGCATAGTAAGTGTTTTGTCAAGTTACAGTCATTTCAAAGTACCTGTGTGCCGAAAATCAGTACGTCGCGCAACAGTAGGGTGACCACATTCCTTAAGGTATAAAACGGGACATCCCAGCCGGGGGGCGGGGAGGGGGTGCTAAAGATTGAGATTGGGGGAACAAATTTAATTAAATTACTCGTCCTATTTTGAAACTTTACCATATTGCACTAAGCCCTGAAACAGTCACACTCACAGTTCAGTTTCATGCACCCATTTGGAAGGTGTTTGTGGGCAAGAGCAGTTCTAAATTTTACTCTCTGGGTACATATTTTAAAGTATACGTGGTAATTTTTGTAAACTATTCTTGTAACGAGTAGGCACAGTTACGGTTTGCTTCAACTCGCTTGGTGCCAATTTCAAGAATATGCACTCCTGTGAAAACAGGACGTGATTCTTTATTGGGACAAAAAGACGGGACGGCAGAAGCGGACCTCAAAAACGGGACTGTCCCGGCCAAAACTGGACGTCTGGTCACCCTACGCAGCAGGTTATTACACAACAGCTGACCGCAAAAGCCTTTGACGGCCAAACCGTGTGTTGGCTGACAACTTTGTTTTCTCGGCTTGAGAACCATCTTTCGTAAAGTTGTTTCAATTGGGAGTACAGTCCACTAGTCCCTTCCTGCCTCTGAAGTCTTCACCTCCCACGACAAGTGGTATTCTCTTGACAGCCCTTTCATGGTCAAAACCGGTTACCATTGAGTTACGCCACCCAAACCAAATTTTCACCTGGTTTCCCTATGCCACCTCTTTTTTGTATAATAAATGCTGTATCATGTTACTGTCAAGTCCAAGTACCTGTGTGCCTAAATCTGCACTTTGCACAGCCCGGTTATAACACAACATTTTGGGTCCAATATTGGATACCCCGTACAGCTTTATTTCTTTATTCGTTGGAAACATAACTTTCACACCTGCTGTCTTAATCAAACTTGGCACACTTCGTGCACAAACTTAGTGAACACTTCACTCACCTCCAAATATCATCGTACTAGCAGTCCCGTTTATTGCGACGAGCGAAACAAATTTCCCACTAATAGCAATCATGGTGGCGGCCGTCTTGCTTTTCGGAAAATTGCTCCAACCCCTTTTTCGGCCGCAACTAGAGAAATTACCCATAATAACGACTCAAACTCAATTAATAAGAAGTGGAGAACAGCTAGATGCCCTTCCTAGGTCTGCCCCAGCACTCATGCAACGTCACACTCAATGAATCGGCTCAAAAAGCAAAAGTTTCGTCTGTGCGCGCTTCCGCCGCCGCAGCTTGGCACGCGAAAAGGGGCCGCAGGCTGCTGAACGCGCCTCACTGTCGAACGCCAGCTCCTCCGCTAGCGGCGCTACGCGCGTTTTCCAAAGCGCCCGTTATAGTTCCCGCACGGAGCGTATAATCACATCCCTTGACAATGTAGACTCGTTGAAGACTCTTTGGAACATTTTTGTTTTTGAAGGAATGTTTTTAAATTTTTTACATGCATCATTGCTGCACACAACCATGTCTCAATAATACGAACCCCGCTTATTTGGATACGGCATAATATAGACGCCATTTCTGGGGATGAACTGGGTAAATGCATGCATTTTTGTCTTCATTACGAACAACTCACATTATAGACTCCTCTTAGGGGGAGTGGAGGTGTCTATATTAACTAAACTTCACCTTATTTTTGTAACTTTTATGTTATCATTGCTGATCTTGGGATCATCTTCATCCCCTTTTTTCTTCCCCTCACCAAAGTAATCCGTTATAGCACTAAGCTCAGAATAAAAATTTTTTCTCTCTCTTCAAGGAACCGGAGAGTCCTTGATCATCAACGTCAAGGACTCTCTGATTCGTTGATGGTTCCTGGTGGGGACTAGTGTTTGACTAGGACACCATCATCAGCAGTGACTAAGGTGCATGTGCAGGGGTAAATGAGTTTCCTATGAGGGCGTAATTGTAATGTGATAGTCGCTACACCTGATTTTTGTTGGCAGCAAGGCCACCTGTCACAACCTAGAGTGGGGAGGAAGTTGTGTTGAATTCTGGAATGGTATAGACGCTGAACACGGGATACACCATAACTTGCCTCAAAAGGGCGACTGGCATGAAATGTGGTAGCCACCGGGAATGATCTACTGATCGGAAATTATTTATTTAATAACATTAGTACAAAGTGCTGTCTACTGTGTACGGTAGCAAGCATAAAAACGGGGCAGAAACACCATTTGTGCCTTGCTTTTTTGCACATTTAAAAAAAGAACTGTTTACTATTACTTTGGTGTATGTTAGTGATGGAGCAAATGCGCCTGCAATGTCTTTTATTTGGCGATGTATTTTGACAGCGCTGCCTGCTCAGCCGTGTCATTCGTCAAAGCGCTTTGCTTTCGAAAATTATTTGCAACAGAATATAGACTAAAACGCCGATTACCGATCACTACAACAGGAGTCGGACATGTAACTTGGCAAGTGTCAACATTCAAACTATATATTGTATGTAGTACACGGTGCAGTATTATCTGAAAATAATTTATTTGGAAAAGATCTTGGATCACACTGCACAACAGTGCCGATGATAGTCGCACGATCCGGCGGAATCCAGGAAGACCTTGTTTTGGGGAAAGCTTTCTTCTTTCACTACACCAACACCAAGGTGAAGGAATGGGCCGATGTGACTGGTTGACTGGTTCGTTCCCCACCCCAATCCAAGCAGCTATTTTTGGCAATGACTGAGAAGGTCTCTACGCAGATTATCTCCGAGAGTGGGGAGAACAGCGGTCGTTGTTCGCAAAATCGCATCGAAGTCCGTTTGTCGTTCTTCCCTCTCTTCGTTTCCCATGAACGTAGGGCCGAAACACTTGAATTGCATGCACTTAACAGCCTTATTTCTCACAGTGAAAAAATAACATAAAAAGGGTGCACAGCATACACTAGGAAAATGAAGTGGAAACTTCCAAGAGAGGCTGGAAACGTTGGAGGAATGCAAAACCACAAAACGTAGGTGGAGAATTGCGCTGAGCAGGTTTCAACAGTCCGAGCGAGCAGCAGGAAATTTCAATGCACAAAAATCGGTTTCTCAACGTATCCTGTTGGGATTTACTAGAGAGGTGCCCGAAGGCAGTGCATTTATTAATTGAGAGCATGAATACACGAGATCCCCGTGGTCGAAAGAAAGAAAATTAGAACTGGTTTTTACCTATGGAAAAATCATTGCTAAACCTTTTTTTCTCAAAATCATCAAAAAATCATTCTGGGCTATTTGGCGTTTATTACGACTGAAAAATCGGCCAAATGGAAAGAAAATACAATCGGCTTACTTATTTTTAATTTTGTAGGGCTCAAACAAGTGCCATAGCGACACAAACTATTCTTTAAGTGTGCATGCAAAGTATAGGGAAAACATAGTTTTTGATTTTTCGTGATTCAGTCAAGTGAGCCAATCTACATAGACGAGCAAGCCGAAGAGACGGCGACAAAGAGCCAAAACTTGAAGTTGGCTCTGTCGTCGAGCACTTGCTGCCTCCGTTGCAGTGGTCTGGGGGCTCGAAGTCCCATTGCCTTACCAGGCCCTATTGCTGGCATTCGGGGCATTTCTTGAGCGTCGTGTTCGTCGGAGAGCTGGTCGGGCATGTCAACAGAAGCGTGCGTAGGTACTTTTGTTACCGCGGCCGAGATAAAGAATGCAGTAGTCGTCGTCGCAGGCCGCAGTCTAATCTTTATGGGGCACAAAAATCGGTAGGCGTGCCAATTC